CATTGATCACGATATACGAAGATATGAGCTTTAACTGAAATGAGAAATCACAACCTAACGTTTAAATCTGAATGAGGGACTTGAACTTATCTTTAAATAATCCTTAAGGTACACAAATGATAACCCCAACAACCCCCGAATGACACGAAGCAAAAGTTAAAAAGGCATACCACAGTGACTTAAGTGACTTGTCACACGACCAAAGTTGCGGCAAAAGTCGTGCAAGTCTCTTGTTTTTCCAGGATAGACCTTCATAGCCTTGCTTTTCCTAAAACCTTACTAAACCTTAGAAATACTTCTGAATTCAGCAAAAACACAAATATAGACCATAGATGGATCCTAAAATTGCACAAAAGAAACACGAGAAAAACAAACCATAGAGACTTACGTGAGTTGCCACGAGACTTTGGTCGTGGGTAAAGTAGCGTAGACTTCTGGATCGTCTCCTTTCCCTGTTTTCACCCAAATCCAAACTTTTAACAAAACAACTAGTACAACACAACTTTAAACCAAAATTTTCATATTTAACATGAAATTCTCGGAGAACCAACATATTTTAATCTTTAGAAACCAACCAAAACTTTTAATCATAACTCAAATAGATTTCCTAATTATAGGTTTCCTAATTTTCAAGTAAAAGAGAAGGTGACCCATACTTATAGGTTTCCTAATTTTCAAAAATAAACCTCCCAAAGTTGGTGCAAAGCAAAAACAACCCCATACTTTCATATTTTCTAAAAATAGATACTCAAGGTATTATACTAGGGCGATGAAAAAAGGCCCCAGAGGTTGACGAATTTAGTCACCAAAATGAAAGTCCATGCCTCTCAACAGTAGCGTTGAACAAGTCAATCAGTGACCAAGTTGTGTTCCCACGATCTCGGCTAACTAACTTTCCAAAATTCCGAGCTTAAACCACCAATAGAAATAGTGAAGTTACTGTAATACCCTCTTTTCCACCATGAGATGTTATGTCTTCCTTAATATAAAATTCCAAATATTTAATAAATACATCACAAGGTAATAAAAGCTCTAAAACTAGAACACAACTCATTGCGGAAGTCTTCTACTTTGAATAGCAAATGTCTATCTTCCCTAGTCCAATTTATACCGAATAAGACATTACCTAAAGCTAATCCTAAAGGCATACTTATTGAAATTGTGTATAGTCTAGTTGTCCTACACATATCTCCTTCCTAATGTCTATTCCATATACATATACATATACATATACATATACATATACATATACATATACATATACATATACATATACATATATATATATATATATATATTATTGAGATGTATGCGACTAGTCAGCTAATAACTCAATGAGTTCATGGTTTCATGAGACATACACACACATATTGAAAAAACAATAAACAATAATGCATATAGTCACATGCAGATAACGTACTCATATGTTTCAAAATCATTTTTGAGATCTCAAAACATTAGGTGTGGTATGGTTCACCATTCTACCATGTGGTTCAAGTGTGATTTACCTGACCTTTACCGTTTGGATCCTCACAACTCGCATCCATTTGCTATAATCCTGACGTCCTGACAGTGAAACCATATATACTCTAAAAAACATTTCATCAACAAACGTCCATCTAATCCTTGAGCAAATGCTAATTAATTGAAAGTGATATAAATCACATAAAATGCATTTCCATAAATCCACCTCATACATGTAATATAACATACAACATGTAATTAAATTATTCTTTTACTAAAACCACATAAAAATACAGTATTTCTTTACTGTTAACACATATCACATAACGTTATATGCTAAAATAGCATTCACACACGTTATTCTTTAGATATAAAATTTAAAACAAGAATATTTAATATATATATATATATATATATATATTTAAATTTATGATTAAAAATATCGTTTCATTAAAAGATGTCGTAAACAACAACTAGTATAAATTAAAACATATAAAACTAATAAAATGGATAATTAAATATCATTCTCATCCTCATAACGTTTTTTGTATGTATACCCTTTTAAGCCTGTAAAGGGGGGAATGGCCCCCAGGCCCCATTGCTCTCCTTTGGTTCGACGGGGGACATTTTGAGGTGTTTTTTTATAAATAAATTAGGGTATTGAATAGTTAAAGGAGATTCATGATACAAAATCATTCAGATGATTTTAGAACCATTAAGAGACACATTTTTTTTTTACAAACAAGATTCACTTATTAACGATTCAAATACTGTCTTTTAATGGAACTATTAAAAGATAAACAAATAACTCCTTGTTATGAGTCAATTTCTTAGAATATACAACCTTAATTTAAAGATATTCTACTTTTGCATTGATCAACGATTCTATGTGTACTCTTTTCTTTTATTTAATCTTAGATATCTTTTAAGAAAATGATCTATATCGATTATATGATAAAACTCATTTTAAAATTCACACAATATATATATATATATATATATATATAGGGTTGGGTTCACGTGAGACCAAAAGTTTTTCGTAAGACCCGTGAGACCAATTTATGTTCATTGATCAACTTTAAAAACTAATGATCTAATGGTTTAAAGTTGTACGGTGACAATTTTGTAATTATTGAGAACTCTCGTGACAAATTTTGTGATTAAGAATGTTGAGATTATAGATCTAATCTAAGGGATGAGAATTGGTCTTACGGGTCTCACGAAAAAGCATTGGTCTCATATGATCCCAAGTCTATATATATATATATATATATATATATATATAGAGAGAGAGAGAGAGAGAGAGAGAGAGAGATTGGTTATTATACAACTCTTGTCATTTGTGCAACCAATACAACCCAATCTCAACCGTCCATTTCATTTGATTAMTATGTGATTTTATAGAGGTTTTGATTATTTCCTAATATAAAGTATTAATCATAATTAATGAACCGTATTCATATTCCATAAATATTTTAATTTATTGGGTTGCATTGGTTGTACAAATGCAATAGGTTGTATTTGAAATAAACCCTATATATATATATATATATATATATATATATGATATCTTAGATCTTCAAATACACTCCAACAATAAAAATAGTTGTAATTGGACAAAGAGGCTATAACGTAATTTGTCAATTAATCTTCCAAGGCTCTGTTTAGGCTTTGATGAAAGGAAGTTGAGAAGCTTGTTGACTAGGCCGCAATTCTTCTTTAAATCATATCGTCTTGGTTAATCTATGATTTCATTCATGAATCTTCCTAATTTTCGCAAAAAATTGAGATATTTTTTACTTTATTATTAGACCCTTTGTGGAGATAAAGAAAGATCATTCATACTAATAGCAGTCAGTCAAGAACTACCAGGAATGTCTATTTTTTTTTATTAACCTATATATCCAACCCGCTATATAATGTCTTTATATTATATATGTATGTCTTTTTCACCTTTCTAGTGACTTCCTTGCCTGCATCTCCTGTCAACAACTAGTTAGTCCTCTTCGCCCTAATGAATAAGCTGGACAGGGTAGGTCTTGTTTGAAACCAGTAGAGCAGTAAGCCTGAAAGCTTTCTCGTGTAATTACTGGGACCTGGATATGAGTCCTTAATGTGTCCAGCATAACACCTTCTTAAAGCCACTCGCGGCATACTGAAAGCATTCATTTTTAGCCAACCGGAGGGAGGCTTGTATTCTAAGACCAAGGCTTAGGTCTCTCTGTCCTTGCAATGAGCAATAGGTGGTTGTCCTGAGATTAGTCAGTTCGTATAGCGAGTTGGATAGGTGGTCGTCCTGAGATTAATCGGCTCGTATAACGGGTTGGATTTAAAAAATTAAATCCGTGGAATTTTCAACGAGCACAGCACCTTGTAATCTCGACCCGAGTATTTGACAATCAATCAACCATTAAGATTATTTTGTAATCCCCTTTTTAAGAATTTATTCCTTTTTTTATAATCAAATATTTAATATATATATATATATATATATATATATTTTAAACTTGATAGAAAATTTACATGTTTATATGATATTAATAAACTAATTTTGCATGTGACTTTGTGGCTTAATTGTTCCATCCCCATGTGAAAGTTTTGCCTTAATTTGAAGTTTTAAGATTCTAAAACAATATTAAATTGACACATTTTTTTTAAATTTAATTTAAGTTAACTTGTTTGATTAAAAATTATTGTAACTTACTTATATAGAATAATTATATGCAGGTGTTAAGTTTTACATGAGACCAACATGTTTTCATGAAACTCGTGAGACTACATTTTTACACTTGAAACTTCACAACAAAACATTGTGAAGGTAAAAAAAATCTGAACATTCACAAAAAAAAAAACATTGTATTTTATTCTGAAGTTTTAAGTGTAAAAAAATGTCCCACAATCTCACTAAAACAATTTATTCTTACATGATTTCAAATCATTATATATATATATATATATATATATATAATTTAGATTTAAGATGTCATTTTCAAGCAATGGTATATAAAATATAAATTTAAATCAACACACAAAAAAGTCAATTTAATTTATAAGATCAATTATAAAGTATATAATAAACATATGATTATAAAAATATAAATATGTATCACGGGAAATAATTTCTTTTGAATCATGATGGACTAAAATATAACAACAACTTAACCACAAGGGTAGTGTATAATTGATTTGAGTTTGGATCCAAAGATCAAAAGTAACTGGAGGTCTCAAGTTCAAATCCAAGGAGAAATAAAAATTCTCTTATAGCCACAGATGTTCAAATACGGTGACTCCGGGCTATTTGATTGGTGGTCGCCCTAAGATTAGTCGGCTTGCATAGCGATTTAGATATAAGGTTAATCAAAAACATATATAACAATAGCCACCAACTTCTGGCTATGCACAAGTTTTCTACTGCTAAATTTTGGTCAGCATACACACCCTAACAAACATTATTTCAGTTGCATTCTCATTTTGACCTCATTTGCCCTCTAACTTTCTCTATTTATACACTAATCTCACCATAACTTCACAATCCAACTGATCGCCAACACCACTCGAGTCCAAACTCGTACTCGACATGAAAGACTTTACCGATCACGTTGGGTCGAACCCGATGACTCCAAGAGAAGCGTCATCCACTCCTTCTTCACAGCTCCACTCCCCATCTTTATCTCGATCACCACTTCTCAACTCACCAGACCACCCACAAGCCGTCAACAAACCAAAAACCGGCCACAAGATTAAGTTTTCCAACACCCCGCCAGTGGTCTCCGCTCCACCGTCCCAGATGCACTCACCGTCCATGTCACGATCACCGTTTCTTGGTACACCAGACCGGCCGGTCACAATGCCGCCAAGTGGGGCTAGAACGCCCATGGCTTATATCAAGTCTAGAAATCTGACACCAAGATTTTTGACACCTTTGGGCAGCCCTTTAAGAAAGGCTCTTCACCTCACCAAACTGGACCCGACTGATGCATGGCTGCCGATAACCGAATCAAGAAATGGAAATGCTTATTATGCAGCCTTTCACACACTTTGTTCTGGGATTGGGATTCAAGCACTCGTTCTTCCTGTTGCTTTCACCATTCTAGGCTGGTAATTAATTACACAACTTTTTTTTCTCAGGGCACAGAAACCAACTATTCATATATGAATAACCTTAAAATCATGATGAATAAGCTTAAAATCATTATGAATATCATTCATTTTCATTGTTCCTTATATCCCTAAACCCTAAACCCTAGACCAAAACCGAATAGCTAATTACGATATTAGGGTCGAATCGATCGAAGGTTGTGAAAACGTGAATTATTGTTTATATTACAGGACATGGGGAATCATAGCGTTGACTGTGGCGTTCATATGGCAACTTTACACTTTGTATTTGCTGGTAAATCTCCATGAATCACCTGAAACTGGAATCCGATACAGTAGATACCTGCAATTGGCAAATGCCGCCTTTGGTAAGCAATTTACACCCATGCCAGTTTGATTTGACTAAAAAGCTTTTGACTTTTATAAAGGCTATTTATGTCATTTGACTTTTTGGTAAACCCTTTTTTCTTCATCAAAGTTGCCATTTTTCTTAGTTTTGAAACTTCAAAATATAAAACTTCGTATCTAAAGTTGTTGTAATAAATTTATATGACGTTTTTAGGCGTCTTAACATATTTTTAAGACATTTTTAATACAAAGTGACGTATTAACAACTTATAGGAAACTTTTGAGAAAGTGTCCTATAAACTCAATCTTTTAATTATAAGGCACTTGTTTTTTTATAGGACAGTGTTTCAAATAGTGTCCTATAAAGTTGCTAATGAGACACTTTATATTAAAAGTATCCTAAAAAACTTATTAGAACGTCAAAAAACGTCATATAAACTTATTACAACGTCTTTAGATAGGACACTTTATTTTTTTGTCCTATAAAGAGGTCTATTAAGACGCTTAGAAATTGGGAGTGTCCTATAGACCTGATTTTGTTGTACTGTATATTTTAAGTAAAATTTACGGGAAGGGTAGTTTATATCTCTATAGTCGTATAATCTTTTTACAACGTATTTTTGTCATTTAACTATGATAAGTATTTATTTAGGATTTGCAAATACAACTTCGGGTGCCTATTTTTTACATCAAGGGTATTTTTTTAATTTGATCGTGATACACGATTATTTAAGTTTATGGTATCGTTAAGATATCTGATTGATCAAATAATCTCTCTGATCAGGTGAAAGGTTAGGGAAGACGTTAGCGTTATTTCCGATCATCTACTTATCAGCGGGTACATGCGTGGCTTTGATCATCATCGGAGGGTCAACCGCGAAGATATTCTTCCAAGTCGTGTGTGCTGCCTCTGAATGCAAAGCAGAGACACTTACGACTGTGGAATGGTACTTGGTGTTCACCTGTGGTGCAGTGCTCCTATCGCAACTACCGAATCTAAATTCGATAGCTGGTATCTCACTTGTTGGAGCGATCACAGCCATTGGATATTGTACAACGATATGGGCTGTGTCGGTAGCGGAAGGCAGACTCCCAAACGTGTCGTATAATCCTATTAGAATCGGCAGTGAGGTTTCGAAAGTTTTCGATGTCCTAAATGCCCTTGGTATCATATCTTTTGCATTCAGAGGACACAATCTTATATTGGAAATTCAGGTAAAATAATACTTTGATCCTAGTTGCTTTAAAAATACGTGACAACGATATAAAATATGGTATTAATTTTCTAAATATAATAAATCAATAAAATATTCACATATTTTGGTTTTTTGTGTCAAACTTATCGTCCCAAATTTTGCAAGGGCAAAATGGTCTTTTCAAAAATAGTTGACCATGCTTGGGTAGTTTTGACCATTCCAATATGGTGGCCTACATTTAAAACGAGTTAATTAACTGAAAAAACGTACCTAAGTTGTTAACCAATTTATTAAACTAAAAACGTATTCGTGCCATGTAACGAAATATATCTTGATTTTAATATTTTATTTTATTATTTATCTCAGTCAATGTTACAATATGGTCTTAGGTAATTTTGAAAAAATCGAAAGTATTTTTATTTTTGAATAAAATATAAATTTAAAGATATCATAAAATTTTGACAAAAATATATCGATATTAGTATGAAATTAACTATTTAAGATTCTTATTTTTTGTATAACTTTTTAATTCAATATTTTCTATTATAATTTAATTTAGGTTCGAAGTAGTTTATATTTGGTTTAATAATATAATTTTCTTATAAATATAATAATTAATTATTTTGTTAAAACTCGATAATTATCCTAATTATATTTTAGATTTTTTATATTTTAAAATGAAATGTTTATCCTCTATTGATTATGTTTATCCGTAGTTAGTTACACGAATTTAAACATGGAGCTTTAATAAGTTGTACTTATGCATAATTTACTTGTAATCTTGAATTTTAAGTAATATGCATCAACATACAGTACTTCATGCATAAAAAATGATTTTTAAAAGTTTTTGTCAAATGCTTTATAATATAGTAAGTATAGATACATTGACAGGTTTTTCATATTTGTGTTTTTAAATATTTATTACGATATTTTTAGAAAATCGTTTTTCTTATAATATATACTTGTATGCTTTTTGTTGAGTCTCTATTATACTACAAAGCTAAAAAACTTCATACAAAATTACAAAATCAATTTTCATATGTGAAAATGTAGTGTTTATAAAGTGTTGTTCGATATCTGAAACGTCCATAACTGTGTTATTCAACAGACTAAATGGTCTTGAACGTTTCATACATGAAACAGCACATTGTGTACACATTGTATTTTCACACGTGTTATACATTACTAGAAGGAGTACTCGTGCAATGCAGCGAGACACATCTCGATTTTAATATTTTATTTTATTATTTGTCTCTGTCGATGTTATAATACGATTTTATGTGTTTTTAATAAAACAATAATGATTTTATTTTTGAATAAATATAAATTTGAAGATATCATAAAATTTTTAAAAATATATATTAATGTTAATATCAAATCAACTATTTAAAAGTTCTCATTTTTTATGTAGTTTCTTTAATTTATTTATTTTTATTATCATTTAGTTTGAGTTTAATAATGAAAAAAAAATATTTTCGTTTAATAATACAAATTTTATAAAAATAATAATTAAGTATTCTGTTAGAATTCAATGATTATTCTAATTATATTTTAGATTTTTTATATTTAAAATGAGATGTTTATCCTGCATTTGATTATGTTTATCTGCAGTTAGTTTCACGAATTCAGATATGGAGTTTTAATAAGTTGTACTTACGCATAATCTACTTGCAATCTTGAGTTTTAAGTAATATACATTAATAAACAGTACTTTATACATAAAAAAATGGTTTTTGAGAATTTCTATCAAATGCTATAATATAGTATAGATTATACATCTACATATACCCTTATTTTTGTAAGTGTATGATGTTGGAATATCAATGAATTGTAGGCTACAATGCCCTCAAGTGAAAAGCATCCATCAACAGTTCCAATGTGGAAAGGTGTGAAGGTTTCATACACACTTATTGCTTTGTGTTTGTTTCCTCTTGCAATTGGTGGTTATTGGGCTTATGGTCAATTGGTAAGTTCTTTATTTTTTTTATTTGGGCCGTTTTCGGGCTTCAACATTCGGGCTTGGTTTAGTTCGCATATAGCCTACAATGCTTAGCTTTGGTCATAAATTTTCAAGATTCGTTTTATTTGATAGATTCCGCCAAGTGGGATGTTGCCCGCGCTATTCATGTACCATTCACAAGACGTGGCAAAATCAATCCAAGCATTAGCAAGCATACTCGTGATCATCAATGCCCTCAGCTCGTTCCAAATCTATGGAATGCCAATATTTGATGAGCTAGAGTCGATATATGTCATAAGGTTTAAGAAGCCATGTGCATGGTGGCTCAGGGCAATCATAAGAACAGTGTTTGGGTTCACTTGTTTCTTTGTTGCGGTGGCCATCCCATTTCTAGCGAGTTTGGCGGGTTTGGTTGGTGGGATTGCTCTCCCGGTGACATTGGCCTATCCATGCTTCATGTGGCTAAAAGTCAAGAAACCGAAGGTTTATAGTCCCAAATGGTGGCTGAATTGGGGACTTGGGCTTCTTGGAATGTGCTTAAGTGCACTCTTGATTGCTGCTGGGGTCTATGTCACCATTGACAATGGTATCAAGTTCAATTTCTTCAAGCCCGAGTAAAGGGGAATGAGAGTTTGTGAGGTGCCAAATTGCAGTTTGGACCATTTGTTTTCAACACAACTTGTATGTATTTATTTGTTTGAGGTTGTAGTCGTGCGACAATCTTTGTTCGACCACGACCTCTTTTATCAAATAAGTTCAGTCGTTTGCTTCTTTTACGTGTATAAAAGATAGTTTTGTTATAGATAAAAATGAACTTTTATCATTTCAAAGATCTTGAATATTATTTTTGTGAAAGATCATACATAAAACCGTTGAACCTCAACTATATAATAGGCATATATATCCCATATAAAATTATTTCAAAATTACGAGATTTTTTTTAATTATATAAAATGCATTTGATCATGTTTGACGCAGCCTTGTGTCCTTTAGGAAAGTGTTTTCATTTTATTCTCTATAGCGTTAGGGTTTACTTTTGAAATTTTTGATTCACCGTTCTTTTTAGTTCATTCACTTCGAGACTGGTTTTAAAGACTATGTAATATGTATCACCAATTTCATTTAACGTAATCTTCCAAATCATAACGAGATAAGGTGTTGTGCTGAAGCCTTATACATTTTTGGAAGATCATCAAAATAACGTTGTTTTATATGTTATTCGTGCTTTTTAAATTCTAAAAAAATAATAATATTCAGTTAAATATGTAATTCTTATTATGTACAAATTGTGTTAATTGATTTTCAACTTTATTTTGAAAAGTAATGTTGTCACACCCTATTTCTCGGAGTTGTGATGGCTACTAATGTCGATTCAAAAACAACATGGCACTACAAAGGTCTAAGGCAATATCATAATTCTACTAATGTCGATTTAAAGGTGACTGCTGGTTACCCAACATCCCACTGATGCTTAAGTCAGTATCATTGATGCGAAGATAATCATGTGGAAAAATAAAGATATGAGATGATACCTAGTACTATGGTTACGTTGGTGTCGATATCGTCAATCCGATGTCAAATTTTTTGCATTTATTCATTTATAAATTGTGACCCATTCTCGACACTAGACAGTATGCAGAACTTACAAATGATGTTAGTGTAGATGAGGTCAATGAGTTTCTTATCTCTTACTTGTGTGAAGAAGTTGAATTCAATCCACTTGAAGAAGGAAGTTGTAAGAGGTAGTAGAAATACCTTTTGCCCAGAAGGGAGGTGTAGCTTGTTGACGATATACATCCCTAGTTTCAAAATGGGTCATGGCCAACTGATGGGATGCATCATTTCTAAAGGCTTCTTCCTTTAATGTAGTTGTTATATTTGTCATCGTGTAAGTCTTGTAGTACTTGTCAAGACTGGTAGTGGCTGATTAATAAAACTTTATGATAAGGTCAGAATTTTTTATTCACTATTATTAATAATAGGGGTGCTCATGGGTTGGGTTGAGGCATTTGAACAATGCAACATTCCTACAAATAGGAGCAAATTTAAACCTAAAATTGACAGAGAAATGAAACTTATAAATATATAAAAAAAAAACCAAAAAAGGGGAAATAGTATAGTGTTTACAACCCAAAGATAAAGATGATAAATAATAACCAACTAATTTAAACTATTTTAAGTTTCGATAATAGACGAACATTACTATCTTCTCCAAAAGAATCCTGTCAATATATAACGCCAAATTGACCAAAAGCTATCAATCACAAAGTGCCTCTATCGACATTCAAACACTCCTTTAATGTAACACCCCACATCCCACATTATATATAACACATAATTCATTCAGAGAAATACATGTATTATCCCACTGAGGTCCATAGTACAAGAAAACTAAAATACTAAATTCACAACTCAAAATTTCCAAAATAATGTTCTTGTACTACATAACATTTAGTCTTCATAACACATCTATAGACTGGTCTCCACATATCCATGCATATAGGAAAACAAGTTATATGTTCCCTTTCCCTTTACTATCATTGAACTCAGTTGTTCTTACAATACATAAAGAAAAAAAATGAGAGTTATACTTGAAGGTCTAATGAGATCCCTTTTTCCTTGTAGTTGTAGGGTGAAAATCACCAAAACATTATTTAAAATCAACTTTCCATATAATAAGAGCATAATTTCATAAATCATATAATCCAACATGCCTCTGGTTGTAAAACCAGACTTAGAAAGATTTCATCAAATACAGGACCAGAGCCCCTCTGGTTCCTCTAACCAGAGCTTCTGGTTATACTAACCATAGCTCCTCTTAAGTTAACCTTCACGTAATTACCATATCAAATATAGAGGATGAATATAAACGTTTTTCCAAGTATAAAAGAGTAGAATATAAAACTTATGTATGATCAAAGCTTCTGGTTCTACTAACCAGAGCTTCTGGCTCAAAAACCACGACCAACCAGAGCTTCTAGTTCAACTGTGAAGACCAACCGGAGCCTCTCTGGTTTGTCCTTCTTTGTTAAAGAGATTTTGAAAAAGAATTTTTCCAAGTTAAAATAAGAGTAATAAGTCTTATGAACACTTTTTTAAAACACATTTCTTGACACAAAGCCTCTATGTACTAGATACAGAGGCTCTGGTCTTGGTAAAAGATTTGTAAAAGACTTGTAATATATACAAATACCATCCATAAGCTCCTCTGGTTCTATGTGAGGAACAATCAGAGCCCTTCTGGTTCCTTTCAAGGAACAATCAGAGCCTCTTTGGTTCCTCATAAATCATACACTTTGTCAAAAACATAGTTATCCAAAACCTTTGGCCATAAGCCAAGTTTTCGCCTTCTCAATAACATCATTATTACCATTTCTAATAAGAGCAACATTCATGAGTCCTCAAATCACAAAGAAGTAAGAATATAAAACTATTGCAATCCTAAGAGACATAAAGCAAGAGCTATTATAACAATCACACATACAAATGTCACCCTTATATCCAAAGGTACACCTCTCCTTGATATATCACCCTTATATCCGAAGGTACACCTCTCCTTGATATGCCATCCTTATCCCATGATACACGTCTCCCGAATATGCCACCCTTATTTCCTCATCAAAATCTATAGATTAATTCCAAACAATGACAAACCAAAGTCACAATCGTCTTGTAGGAACATCCTCTATAGTTTTAACCAATAATGGTTTCAAAACAGTTTCATTCCAAAACTTTAAAACTCAAGAACCAATAGTTCTTTTAATATCATTTTCCAAACTCAGAACCCCTTTTATCCTTAAAATAGGATATCATCCTCAAATGTTAAAAACAGTTTACCATTCTTCATCAAAATCGATCATCAAATCATATACTTCAAATAATACCATATATAAAGATTTCAATTTCAAAAACTCACCTTAATATGCGCAGATTTGAGATTAATCACACAACAACTTCCTCTAGTAAACACAGATTCCTCAAATCACTTTTTATGCAAAATTTCTTCTCAAGAACACCTTCACCGCCACACACACACACTTTTCTTTTCACAAAGATTTCTCTCAAAAGATAAGATAAGACTGATCTTATCTTATATATATATATATATATATATATATATATATATATATATATATATCTTAACAAGGGCGGTGTGTGTTTTATTATTATAAAACTCATAGGGCGATGTGTGTTTTATTATTATGAAACTCATAGGGCGGTGGAGTTTTATTAATTTTAAACTTCACCTTTCTTAACCATGAAGATGCATACACACATATTTTAATAATTTTCCATGTATGCATTTTATCATACATGCACGCATATATTTTAACAACTTCTCACATATGCACAGTAACATATTCACATATATGTATGATCCATGCATTTACTCAGATAATCATGCATATTATCACATATTCGCATAATAATCACATAAAGATTACCTCAACCATTGTTGCCTTAAATGTCGGTTATCACATTATCTACCCCTCAAAAGAATTCCGTCCCGAAATTCATTTGATCAAACAACCAAAGGTATCTGGTTCTCATTTTAGATTCTAATTCCCATGTCGCTTCAGAACCCTTGTGATAACGCCACTGTACTTTTACCAAACTAATTTCTTTGTTCTTCAACACCCTGATTTTTCGGTCAGTCACAACTTCTGGTGTTTCCACGAAATTCAGTTTACTATTAAGTTTATCTCTGGAAGCGATATTGCTAGACTTGGATTAGCTAAACATTTTCGTAAATTTGACACATTAAAAGTGATGTGAATTAAGCTGGTCTCTTCCGGTAGATCTAACTGATAAGCCCCTAGCCCAACCCGTTTGCATATTTTGAATTGCCCAATATACCTCGGACTAAGCTTACCTTTCTTTCCAAACCTTATAACACCTTTCCACGAAGACACTTTAAACATCACAAAATCACCCACATAGAATTCAATCGGTTTTTGACATTTATCGGCATAGCTTTTCTGGCGGTCCTGTGTTGTTTTGATTATTTCACGTATTTGTTCAATCTTTTTAGAAGTTACTTGAATAATTTCGGGACCTGTCAACTGCCTCTCCCCTACCTCATTCCAACATAACGGCGTTCGACATTTACGTCTATACAAAACCTCATACGATGCTGCTTAGATACTGGAGTGATAGCTATTATTATAGGCAAACTCTATTAATGGTAAATGATCCTCCCATTATACTCCAAAGTCAATAACGCAAATTCTCAACATGTCTTCGAGAGTCAGGATGATTCTCTCACTTTGCCCATCTGTTTGAGGATGATATGTCGTGCTTAATTGAATTTGAGATCCCAGAGCCTTTTGCAAACTTTCCCAGAACTTTGAAATAAAACGGCTATCTCTGTCAGAAATAATAGATAATGGGACACCGTGTCTGGTTACATTTTCCTTGATATAGATCTGAGCAAACCTTTCTAAAGAATAGGTTTCTCTTATTGGTAGGAAATGCACAGACTTAGATAGACGATACACTATTACCCAGATTGCATCATATCCTTTTTGGGTTCGAGGTAATTTCATAACAAAATCCATCGTAATGTGGTCTCATTTCTAGACTGGAATTTCCAAAGATTGCAGATTTCCATAGGGTCTCTGATGTTCGATTTTAACTTGCAGACATGTTAGGCATCGTTCCACATATATTGCTATGTTTTTCTTTAATCCTGGCTACCAATAGAAGGGTTTCAAATCTTTGTACATCTTATTGGTATATGGATGAATAGAATAGCAGGACTTGTCACTTTCATCCAAGATAGTTTCTCGCACGTTCCCATAACA